AACTCATTTTTTCATTAATTTTTTGAATAGCTTCTAAGCCATAAGCACAATGCTTTGACTTTGGCGTTCTAAGATCATTCAGAGAATGTAAATAATAGGCAAAAAAGGAAATATGCAATTACCAAAAACGGTACAATTTTTGTTAGAAATAAGAATTTCTTCGCTATTTTATAAATGCCGTTGAAAAAACAAATTTGGTGAAATTATAATTTTATCTATGCTTACGACTGTGGAATGTTTACAGTAACATAAACTGAGGAAATATAGAAAAATAAAGGTAGATAAAAACCGAAATTATATTTTCGTGCTACATCTATATATATGTACATATATTTACAAAAAAAGAGAAGAAAAAAGCAGCTCGGCTCTCCGCATTTATTGATCACAATAGAAATATAACATTTTTAAAGCTTAAACTAAACCGACAAGGTGACCTGACTCCAAACGGTTTGGTTGAATCTCTCAATGGACTGCATCTGCTCATTGAGCTGGTGGAGCTGCTGAAGAATATTGTCGAACTTGGCCTCAAAATGCTGCACCACCGACTTGAGCTCCTGCCGCAGCTTTTCCACCTCGCCGGGCTCGGAGTTGGCCAGATTTTGGGTGGCTTCCACACTGGCCGAGATCTCGGAGGAGGAATAGCTCGAGTCCAGAGCCTCTTTTTCCGGCATTCGGTACATGCAGGCTATGCCGTGGATGTACTCTCCAGGAAAATCCGGATCCACGCTGTCCACCGTGAAGGTGATGCCGTTTGGACGGATGAGTACATCCATAAGGGTCCTCAGGTTGAAGCAGTTCCAGCTGTTGCCATGTATGTAGAAGTGAGTTAGCTGGGAAAGCGTGGCGAAGGCGGAAGGATTGATTTCCGTGAGATTGTTGCCCGAGATGTCGAGCTTTCGCAGATTGGGCATTCCCTCAATGGCCTCCAGAGGCAACTCGACCTGACCAGTATTTCGCAGCACCAGCGTCTCCAGGTGCGGAGTGTGCCAGCCGGCGGGTAACTGACCCAGATCCGGATTATCGGCTACGTCCAGATGCCGTAACCGGGGCACCCGGCTGAGCGAGGCCAGCTGGACCAGCGAGTTGTTGCGCAGCACAAGATGCTCCAGGGCCTCCGAGGCGGGGAAGTAAAGCTCTCGCACACGATTGTCGCTCAGATCAACATTCGTCACCGAGCCATACAAGTTGACACGGTCCAGTGAGCAGTTGCGGACGTCCAGGTTGCTGGCATTGAAGTTCAGTAGCAGCACGGCCAGCTGCGGGTTGTGGGACAGATCGATCGAGTAGATCTGCCGGTCCCGGCCTCGTAAGCGCGACCGGAAAGCATGCTCGCCCAATTCGCGGAGTTGGTTCCTGTGCAGTGAGACGGAGTGCAGAATCGGATTGTGGGCAAACAAGTCGCTGTCGACGGTAGCCAAAAAATTGTCAGCCAGGCCCACATGCCGCAGACTATTCAAATCACTGAAAACGCCTGGCGGTAGCGCCTCAAGTCGATTCTCCGTGAGGTCCAAGTGCTGCAGCTCCTTAAGGTTTTCAAAGGCTCCCTCCTGCAGCTGGCCGAGTCGGTTGCGGTTGAGGAATAGAAACTGCAGGTGGCCCGCTCCCCGGAATGTGCCGGCGGGCAGGTCCTCGATCTCGTTGTCGGTCAGCAGGAGTATCACCAACTTCTCAGCGCCCGTGGAGAAGTTCTCCCAGTACATGTACCGGATGCCGCAGCCCCTTATGTCCAGCTCGCTCACCTCCAGCGCGAAAAACAGCCGCAGCGGGAAATGAGTGAAGGTGCTGTTTTTGAAAATTAGTGTGCTGGCAGGCCACTCGTCGCCCACATCGTAGGTGGTGCCGTCTGGTGCAATTCGGACTGCCGTTTGAAGGTCGAACCTCGCCTTCTCGTCCTCTCCTTCGAAGTTAAAGCCACTGCAGCGGGTCACTTCGCCCTGGGTATGGCAGTGTCCCTCCAGACTTGACACCTGGACCGTGTGCCGATCCGCATCCTCATTCCCTTCGGCCACGGCAGCAGCGATGGCCGGCAACGAGATCACTAGACACATCCGGACGTACATTGAGCGTGCTCTGCGTTTCACGATCGACCTGCAACTGATTCCAAACGATGACCGTCAAACGCCTCTCCAGATAAGCCCCTCCTATAATGCTCGAACAATAATGATTGTTGTTGGCACGACCATCATCAGTTCTATATAATTTTCATTCTATTCATGGTGTTTTGATTTTGCGCAAAAAAGTGGTTCATATGTAACGAGCACAGTTCGTTTCAGTGCTTTATGTCAACGGAATTGAATTTAATAGGAATATAATTGGGCGCTATCGAATTTGAGGTGTTTATATGTATCATGCAAATACTGTCTAATAGCCTATCGTTTTTCTTAGTATTGTGCTATATTACATTTTTGTTGTATAGTAACTAAAATAGAATTCTCGAATAATTGTAAATTGTAATGAAATGGAACGCAAAAAATGTATTCTAATCGCTCTTTGTTACATATATTCTACCCTATGTGTATAAAATCGTAAACTTATTCCGAATACTGTCCCTAAATGAAGCAGTATAATCATATTTATTTCGCTGTCGTCATTATTTTGGCATATGTTGCCGGTTTCTCATTTATTGTTTATTATTTGGCACCGCTTCTATTATGAAGTTCCCGGTCCGTTGCCTCCATTCAGCAACTTGCTGCTGAACCCATGAAACTCGAACAAAACAATGTACGCCATATCTGCGGAGCTGTTGCACAAAGCCCCTGTCCTCTTATCATCGAGTGTTTACTTGGCGATTTGCTCACCGAAAGGTGGAAATCTTTTGGCTGCTGATAATGGACATGGGGCCAGACACTTGCCCAGTCCTAGTCGTTGGAATAAGTTTTTATACATGTACATTGGATCTCCCCCTAATTAATTCAAATACTGCTGTTCGAAAGTCTGCAATTTTCAATAAACAATTTGCTGATTGCAGAGCGAGTGAATCATGAAATATCAACCGAAGCGATTCACTTACACACAATATTTATTTTTTTGTGGCGAAGGGCATTTGAGTTTGTATTTATTATAAACAATCGTGTCGGCATGGGTTCAACAATTATTATCATGAATGTGTGGCACCTTTTGCGCATCTCTCTTACGTCAAATAAACACCGGAAAGCTTTACTAACTAGAATCCGAATTGGTGGCATATCAATGGAAAAATACATAAGGTTTAGCAATATATTATCGAGCGAGCTGGGGCTGGGAGCACGTTCAACCTGCTTTCAGTCGCTCAATTTGTTATTTACAGCTTAGCGGAGTGAAAACAAAAAAATTATAACAACCGCAAAGTCAAGTAAAGCTTTATTAATTTGTATGCAAACAAATTTATGTGCTTGTTGAAATTTATAAAATTGGTCTTCGCCGCGCTTTCGGTGGGACTTTCTTGGCTTAGTTCTGGACAAACAATTTGAATACTGAAAGGTAATTCCTCTCCACTCTAAACAAGGTACAATTGATCGAGCTATTTGCATTGAGCTAATTATGGGCCAATGGGTTTTAAATCATTAGCCCCGGATTGTTGTCGTTTGTTTGTGACATTTCTGCTATTATTATGGCTGGCTGCGAAGGCTCAATTGAAACGGCATGACTTCGTTTAGCGATAAATATTGTGGTCTGCGCGCCCCCCCTTTGTCCAATTCAATTTGCCGCAATTACTTTGCATACAAGTCAAGTCAATAAGAAAAAAGAGTGGGAATTACCAGAGTTTTCCCCGAGTCGCCAGCAGACTTTGTCCCCACGATCCTGCTCTGTATCCGAATCGAATTCCCCCCAAATAGTTATGCCAGCAAAGGGGTGAATAAAAACGCGAACGTTTAGCCGGCAATCGGTCACGTAAAATGTGCTTATATTGTATTGTGGGTGGTTTATATGGCGCCTTCGCTTTATGGCACTTGATTTATTTTATTAATTTTATTGGACAGTCGGACGCTAAGTGTTTGAGAGGTAGTCAGGGGTTCCAAAACCTTGCTACAAACAGCTCTATCGTGGATATGCCCGGCAAATAAGATAACGTCATTAGAGCTGACAGTTCCTGGGATGTTTTATAGCTATTTTCTAGTATAGTTGGGCATGTTTTAAAAATTAAAATATTGCGAAGAATTTATTGGGATAGTTAAGAGTTAACGACCACATTACAAACAGATGACTTTATTTTCCTTGATTTATTATGGGAGATGGTTTTCGGTTTTTGAAAATTGAATCTATTATAGATATACAAATCATTATAAAAGAGTGTTTTATATCATTATGGATATTGCTTTGAAAGAAATGGTAAATTAGTATGTTAACATGCAGACTATTTATATTAGTTACGAATTAAGAATGAAAAGGCTTTGACTGGTATTCTTTGTGGTACTTCAATGTTTTTAAGAACAAGAAAAAACGACTCAGTTCTTCCCTTAAATAAATGATAATCGTAAAACACCGGGCCAGACCCAGCGTAGCCCCCACTTAACAAACTTTAAATTGGTATGTACATATGTATGTACATGCCTACATACATCGCTGTAGAACGGTTCCTAGCATCAGCTGATAGGCTGATGTACTATTGGAAAAGTACCGTTATTTTACATACACTCAAGTCTTAAATGTTTGTTTTAAAGCAAACTTGTGTTTTTTTTATTATTTTTTCGGCTAAATAAGACAAATAAGAGATCATCGATTTATTGAATTAATTATCGATTATACTCGGCGACAAAAAATCCTTTCGATATATTTACTATATATTTCAGAATCATAAAAATGAATACAAACATATATATTTATATGAACAATAAATATATATATATTCATTTTTATGATTTTTTTCATCCCATAGTGCGATGTCGTAAGGTCTGGTCTAGAAGAGAGTCATGTCGAATGAATGAATGAGTGCTTAACGGTCGGCTATCGGGCGGCCCAAAATTGTCGCTCGGCAGAGCACAGAACCAAAACAATACCACAGCGCAGCAACGCTACGAAGCGAGTATTCATTGAGAGGAATCATAAATTTTTATGAGCCCCGAAAAGCGAGGCAGCGTGCGATCAAAATACAAGCAAATCGATACAAACCGACTCGAAAACCAGTTGTTCGATTTGTGTTTTGTTTTCGAAGGCTGTGTTCTGGTTTGGCATTAAAAAGCCGCCACAAAGCCAGCTCTGAGCTCAGTCTTCTTCTACCACAATGCTATCACTAAACTATCCGGACTATATTTTGCTCACGCTGATCGTCGGTGTCGCGATAACAAAGTCACAGCCGCTGGAAGAAGTGGCAGTAGGAAGCCTGGAATGTAAGGAAAATACTTGCATGAAACTGGATTATCCAAACCGCACTGAAGTCGCCTGCTTCAATGAGAATGTCACTGCGAATCTGATGAGCTACGAATCGCTGATTCTGCACAGTTCCCAGCTGGCTAACATGCCCAGAAAAATATTCCACCAGCTGCCTCAACTAGTGGAACTTTATGTCCTGGAGTGTGAAGTTCAGGGGATAGAGAGAGAATGCTTCGAAGGTTCCACAAACCTGAGAAAGTTGAATTTCGGAGGGAATTTCCTCAGAATCCTGGCAAGCAACACCTTCGAACTTGCCACTCAATTGGAGGAGCTCAACCTGTCCGACAATCAACTGGAGGAGCTTCCGCCAATGATATTCCTGCCACTTAAAAAGCTTCAGAAACTCAACCTGTCTAGCAATCGACTGAAAACTATTCCTCAGGGTATATTCTCCCAATTGGTTTTGCTTAGTTCTGTTATTCTGGACAGCAATCAGTTAACGCAACTGCCAGGCGACCTATTCAGAGATCAGCGAAGGAATCTGTCGGAATTCTCGGCTAAAAGCAATCTGCTAGAACGAGTTCCTTCGAACATATTCTTATCAGTTGAACACCTCCAACTCTCGTTTAATCCTCAACTCAGAAGGCTCCAATCCACAGCCAAAGTTTATGATCTCCACGCCACCAATTGTGGTCTGGAATCAGTGAAGCTAAAGGGACCTGTTGTCAGAGTCCAACTGGAGGATAACTTGAGTCTGAATGAGTTGAAAATATCGCAGCCTCAGGTCCTGGAACAGCTCTATCTGGCCAACACCAATCTGTCCAGACTCGACTTCCTGTCCAAGGCCAGTAACTTGGTTGACTTGGATGTGACTGGCATTGATAATCTTTCGGATCTGCCTCAGATTTCATCCGTCGCGGGTCTGGAGCGGCTGAGCTTTACCTATGATAACACAAGCTCGGATCACATGGACATGCTGCCCCAGCTGAAGGATCTTAAATACTTAGAGATAACCCACGACAAGGGCCGGGAGGTTTATATCAAGGATCTGGAAGATGATTTCTTTGTCGACGATGTTCAAATTCATTGCGATCAATTAGCGGATCTGTTGGAGTACGTGGAATTGCCCAAGGACACGATGATATTGGAAGATCGTATAGTAGGAGATAGTCGAGAGCCCCTCAGGTGTGGAGCGACATAATAAGAGCATTCTGAAATACTATAGAACGTTGTTTTCAAGCGGAAAATAAATTGTTTGTGAATGATAAGATTTGTTTTATACTTCTTTGGAATAGTCTGTATTAGTATGTAACTCTCACTGTGAACGGGCTTAAACATGGCGAGGATGACCAAGTTTACTGACAAAAGAAATCGGTCGGGTCTCGAATTATGTTATAAAATGGAGTCGAACTAAACCTCGAGTTAATCTAAAACTCTTCGCAATACGAAGTAGTAGGTCGCTTAAACTTTAAAAGTATTTTTGTTGGTTAGTATTATGCTAGAAAATTGAACCTTGAAGAGTTTTTTGTGTTAAGAAAACCTAACTAAGGATATGCTAATGGCTAATTATAAAATAATTGGTCCACATTCAGTTTCGCTTTCTTTAATCGTCATGATAAATACGCTGAGCTTTATTCATTTCTTAAAAGTTCTTATATATTATACTATGAAACAATTACAATACAATTACAGAACAATTAATCAATGCGTTCATTATTTTTAAGATTTCTTCACAAGAAAAATTCTCAATTTGCGTTTACAAATCGCTTTTGATTTCTGTGCCTCAACAATTGTTTCGTCAGTCGATCGAAAACTTCGTTTGCTGGGCTAGCATACGATTTCACTGATCTCCGCTGATCGGTGTCAGTGGAGCGCACAGATCTTCTCAATTGGGGATCAGCGATCATCGATTAGCAATCGCTCCATCGGCCACCGACCAGTTTGCCAGACCTTTGACAATGTTGGACTTTTGTTTGTCTCATTTTATTAGCGCAAGTTGGACTACACAGGTGCACGTGCCTATGTCTACGGATAGTGCTAGTGATGATAGAAAACCTCCTGGTCATTTCAAGAGCTAGTAGCGCTCCGGCTCTCGCTTCTCCAACCTGAGGCTGGGCAGGTTGGTGCCCGGAATCAAGTTATTGGCCCCTGGATTCGTTGGTATACTGGTTGGCGCAGTTTTGGGGTTGGCTTCAGAGGCCGACTCCTTCGTTTTATTCACATCCTCCACCTTGTTGTTCTCCTTGATGATTTTGGGCGGCATCGTTATGTCTAAACTGTCCGAGTTTTGGTAGAAAAGATAGCAAGCGGACATCAGGCCCACCAGTGACAAGGTGACCAGGGACCAACGCAGACCAGAGTTAACCTTTAGGCCTCTGAAATTTGACATTTATACTTATGTTTTTACCACAGACTTCTGTCTTGAAAAATACTTCAATGTACTCACAAAAAGAGCGTGTACTTGACCAGGTTAGTATAGGTCTTGTTGAGTTGGACACCCTCCTCCACCCAAAACAGGGGCAACACAAGCTTTGGTAGATTCTTAAGGGGTTCAATGCCCTCCACTGGCTCCATGTCCAGGCTGAATTGCAGGCGCTTCGCGGCCTGGAAGGGAGTTCCTGACATCTGCAAAAGTCTCGAATTATGTAGTATAATTTATCTACAAGTATTATCAGCCAGAACTGACCAGTTCAAAGTCAATGTAGACCGCGTGGTCCTTCTCATTAGGATTAAGACCATCGACAGCGGCCAGCAACTTGGGATCGGCTAGGTAGAAGTGCGGCATGGAGGCAAGTAAAGGACCGCCCACACAGGCGGCCAGGTTCATGGTTCCCTTCGGAGGGCACGTGTCCAGGTCCTCGGGGTCATCGCAGAAACAATGCAGTTTTTCGTCCGACCGTATATCACCCATGTCCAGGGTGTACCTTAGGGAAGGCATTCCATGATACGAGGACTTTCGCTGGTAATAAGCACCCAGGGACCGGCACAAGTCCGGGGTAAAGGCCCATAGACCGTCTTCCTTTTTCAAGCCGGGCGCGAAGACCGTAGAGTCGGTGCCCACGAAAGTGTTGCACTCGCCATCCGGCCAAATATCCTGTTCCGGCTCGTTGGCGAATTTCACCACCTTTCCTAGCTTCTTGTTGTTCTTCACCCCGCGGCACACTGTAAATCGGCCAGCATCCGAATGGTTGGCCTACAATAAATGGATAAGGTACAGAAAATATTATTATGGTATAATAATAGGTCGTCTTGCGACCCACCTGTCCCATGAAGGAGAGCAAAAAGTGTGTCTGGTTCACTTGTTTGGCCTGCTTAACTTCGCCTGTGTAAAAAACCGTGCAGACTGCCTTAGCTGCAAAGTCATCCGGGGAGCAGTCCACGTCGATTCCCCGGAAGAAGATATCCATGAATTTTCCCTTAAAAAAGGCCTTGGCATCCGGAAAGACTAAACCCAACCCCCTAGATACCAGCTCCATCATAGCAGCCTTTTCTCTTTGAACCGTGATGCCGGCAGGCTGCAATATGACAAGGGATTAAAAATTATAAATCTCTCGAGATTTTTTTTTTCGCATTTGTGTTGCTTCTGTTTTTGGCTGGGAATGCGATTTGCATAATTCACATGGGCAACAATGGGACACGTGGTCATAAGCGGTCGCCTTAAGTGCAGCGGATAATTGCTATATTAATTTGCTGACGCAATCGTTAATGTTCATTGGTATTATTTTAAAAACTAGCTAAACTTTAAGGATGAATTCGTACGAATTGGCAGAAGATATATATTTTCCTATAATGATAAATACCTTACCATCAGTACGGGATGTGGCACAATGATCTCCTCTTCACCCGTGAGTGGAAGTGAATCCTTCTGGTTGAATATGAAGGTATTTCGCATGTTGAAGCTGACTGTGTCCTCCACCACATCGTCCTCCAAGTCGTACTTGTCTTTCCACTCACTTACAAAATGCAAAAAGAGAGAAATATTTTAAATCATCCTCATATGAGGTGTCCTCCATTGAAACCCACTCGAACACAAATGGACCCACTTCCTGTAGTCGCGGCTTGCCACCTTCGGCGACCTCGTCCGGATTGGTAACATTGAAAACATAGATGTAGAAGTGCAGGGGAAAGGGGGTGTTTGACCATAGTTCTCGAACGTCAGATCCCGGCTTCAGGGTGACTTGCTATCGAGAGGAGAAACCCTGTTAGACGAGTCCTAGCTTATCCGCGAACGATCTTCGCCGAACCTTGGAGATCATTAGCTTAAGGATTTTGGGAAAGAGAACCCAGCCGTAGATAATGGCGAACACGAAGATGCCCGCCGAGGCAATGAGGAGCTTCATCCGGTGAACTTGCATCTTCGATGGATTCCTGCTGTGCCTGTTCTCCTCCTTGGAGCTGAAGACCTGAGGCTTTCGCAGTCACGACGCAACTGAATCGTCTCGACTGCGAAGTCCGGATTACCTCCCATTCGAGCGCGTACGTGCGAATATTTTTCGCAATCTGTGAGGGCCCAAGTCAGCGGGGGAGGTGGCAGCGGGATTGCGAAACAATCGGAGAACACGGCATTACTTATAAAATCAATAATTGCATGTATTTGTGTTTTATAAATTTTTTTCACTCTACGCTCTACGCAGATTGGGCTATAGTCGCTGCAGTAGTATACACGAATGCGGTTTAACTGGCTTTTGTTCTAAAAACCGAATGCCATTTGATCATTAATTGTTCACATATCCCGAAATCGGAAACCAGTTATCCGATCTCAGAAGACTATTTGGATCCATAAATGTGTCATAAAATCATCGCAATAAGTATAATTTTCAGTTTTATCCCAATAGAGATAGGTCAACCCAATATCTCCTTAAAAAATGCTGTGATCGTGGACCTTCTTAGCGATAAACCTTGGCAACTAAATGTCAATATGCTGCATTCATTCGCTGTAGGAGAATCTATTATCTCCTACTTAAGTGCTTTCCACTTAAAACTTAGTAGGAGGAAACTATTTCTTCAAATGTCCTAAGCAACACCCGGCCTATATTCAATTGTAAGCTTTGGGGTCATGGGCCATGGTCTTGGTTCCCCTGTGTATCCCCATTGAATTCCTTCTCCTCTCTATTCAACGTAAATGCTTTTTCCTTGGAACTTCTTAAGGAAAAACATATTTCTGTAACTGCAAAAATGGTAAATTTCATTAGCGACACCTGGCCAATATTCCATTGTTAGTTCTTCCGACCTTTGCTTGGTCGCCTTATTTCCGCAATTATCGCAATTACCCTGCCACTCTTAAGGGGAACCAAGGCAAGTGTTGATGGAAAATTAGGGAAGATAATACGACAAATGGCATTTCCATAGGGCTAACAAAAATCGAACCATTTAGAAAAGCTAATATATCGTTTGTTTTGCATACTTTCACGCCATTACCCTTATAATCATTATATGAAGCAAAAAGTTCCTTTTATTTTTATTTTTACCAACACATTAGTAATTACAGAGTTGACGTACATGTGTGCGTTTGTGAAGGGTACTCCATTTTTAATAGACAGCAGAAAAGTAAATACTGTGGTAATTGCTACTGAGCGATGAAATACCACTGCTTCCATTGATTAAAGCTAAGTATATAGATCATTTCGGGTTGGATGCTCTGCTGCCACCTTGACCGGCTCGGCTCCACTCCGCCTGGCTACGCCCCCTTCTGGGAAGTGAGTCTCCGGTCTGTTGACATAGACAGAAATCGAAACTGAAACGGAACGCAAAACATAATTCACGACAATGCCAGAAACACAGAAAACAACTTAGACAATGGGCAAGACTCAGACACGTGACTCTGGTTTCGCGAACTTGAGATTGGGACAGAGCCGCTAGAACCCACGTAGACGTAGCCCCTCTGGAGTGACACAGAAAAACGAGTCGCTGAAAAGCGTAAATTGAATTGCGCTTGACAGCAGCTGACGATCGAGAAGATCAATTTTCGGCTGCAGTTTACCATAACAACAAACCTCCGCCAAAAGCCCGCGCCTTCTTCGATATTTCGCTGACCATATGGAAATCGAGCGCAAAACGCCAGCGAAGCCAACGATTTGATTACGCTCGAGCTGGAGGCGCTGATTAATCGAGAGCGAACGAGGAAATTTTCAATTCCGATCGCAGCCAGTTATTGCAACCCGTATCAATTACGCAATTCCGGTGCTTGGGATTGGAATTCAGTTGATTTTTTTATTTGTGGGTCTTTAGTTTTCGGATTGCGGGAAACATTATTAGCAAAGTAAGTAATTTGGGTTTTCAGAAAAATGGTATTGTATTAGTAGTTTTTTGTATAAGGAAATACATACATAGCAATAGTAGTTATAATATATTTTTTTTAACCCAGCTTCCGAAGGTAATTTCGTTTCGGATTACGGGGTTAAATTTATAATTCCAATTTATTTCATATAAATTAAGGGGGTTACTGTTATCATTTATAGTTTGATTGATTGTATGTATATCTTGCTAAAAACTTCTTATCTTACAAAGAACTTACCACATAGAGTATTGATGGAGAATTTGGTATCTCAATGGAGAGGCAATCGAATCGATTTTTATATGTAGTATGTATGTAGAAATCTTCATTCATAACAAAGCATTTCTTTTATCCCATATTTCATCCTCTTAAATTTGATTGATATATGAAAATATGCTTTCTAAAAGACAATTTCTTACTTGAATTATATTTGTCTTCATCGGTCAGTTGCATAGACCATGTAATTGATTATGTCTTTATCATACAAGATCCTAATGTCGGAACGTAATGCAGCGTTACGTTTCAACTTTAAATTGCTTGTCTATTCTATATTGTCATAACTGACGTCGTTGCTTGATTAATAATGTTATTAAATTGTCAAGCGGTACGGCAAAAGTGGTTCTCAGGGAGAACTGGAATTATTGCTGAATACAACTTTAATCATTAATAATAAAGAATAATTTAATCTTCACAATAATGCCATTCGCCATTTCTTAACAGGGTTTTCACTGATTTTAGTTGGGAACTTGAGTTTAGTCTGGAACTTAATAAAGTTTATGGATTACAACAAATTACTTATTCTCGATTTTTTCAACGAGCTTAAACATTTTTCGTGGATCTAAGTAATATATATACCTCAAATTAATATTTTTAAAACTCAAAATTCATTTATCTGGTATAATTTAGTTTTTTAAAATTTATTTGTTGTTCGTTTTTAGCTTTATATGTAGTCAAGTTCGCCCGCATGCCGTCTTCTATTATTTTTTATGTGTCGTTCAATATTTACTAGAATCAACAGCCGAGTTGATCTAGACAGGTCAGTTATTCAGTTTTAGAGCTGTCGAATGAAACCTTGCAGATAGGGAGACGAGACTCATGCAGATAAGGTCCTTATTGGACTACCATATCTTTTGGCCTTCATAAAAATGATTGGACATAAAAAAGTTGTATATGTTTCTTCTTTTTCAAGATTTTCCACGAATATTCATTCTTCTTCCAGACTCGAAGTCAATCCGACTTCGACTTTTAAAGGCGCAAATTTTGCCAAAAATAACAACAAGAACTTTTCAAAAGCCATGGCCCGCAGGATATGACAATTTTTAATGATTTCCCACAAGGTCCAAGGAAAAAATTGGCACTGAAAAATATTTCTCATTCATGTTTGTTTTAATAATTTAGTTTCCTAGTTTATTGTATGTAAACTTCGGCTGGCCAAAGTTTGCTTTTTTCATGTTTTGAAGTTATTCCGTAACAAGAAAGGAAGCTAACTTCGGCACGCCGAAGTTTGTATACCCTTGCAGATTGGTTTTGATGTTTATATTATAGACTTAAATGCTGAAAACACTCACAAAACAGAGTTTCATTACATTTTACCTATACTTATTATGTTTACAGTTTGACAGTTACAGTTTTACATTCCCAGCTTTATATATTTTATACATTTACCGATCGCTTCTATGGCAGCTATAAGATATAGTTGTCTGATTTTTATGAAATTTATACCAAAATTCTAGAATAATAAAAAAAGCTTATATCTCAGGGTAGATCAAAATACGTTGAAAAACAACGAAGATATAATTTTATTTGTATTAATTTCCCGATCGTTCCTATGGCAGCTATATCATATAGTCGTCCGATTTTCATCAAATTTTTACCAAAATTCTGAAATAATATAAAATGGCCATATTTAAATATATAAAATTATGCAAAAATGTTTAAAAACAGCAAAGTTATAATTATTTTTCTATAAATTTATCGAACTTTTGTATGGCAGCTATGTACATATATGATATAGTCGTCCGATCCGGCCCGTTCCGACATATATAGCAGTGAGAGTATATAGAAGACTATATGCAAAGTTTCATTCAGATAGCTTTAAAACTGAGGGACTAGTTTGCGTAAAAACAGACAGACGGACAGACGGACAGATGGACAGACGGACATGGCTAGATCGACTCGGCTGTTGATGCTGATCAAGAATATATATACTTTATAGGGTCGGAAACGTCTCCTTCACTGCGTTGCAAACTTCTGACTGAAATTATAATACCCTGCAAGGGTATAATAAAATACCGCCTACACAAGTAGGTTATTACTCAGCCAGCCGGCAACTTGAAAGGGGAGCAGTGTTACAATTAGCAGTCCAGTGAGGAATTCTACTGTCCTCCGCCCACTCGAGCCCTCTGGCATTGCTGTGCTAATTTCCCAACTCACTTGCGACGGGTTCAGTCCTTATCGTAAATAAGGAATGTCTTCAACCTTGCGGAGCTCGCTTTCCAAAAGCCCAATACCCTCGGTGTTCTCTCCAGTGTCTACGCTGGGAATATCAATTTGCTCTGGCTGACAGCGATTAATGAATTGGCCCGAAGTCAATGAAAAGCGAGTGACACTTGCACTATCAGCCATCAGCGGCCTGTCAAGGGAGTGAATCATCGGTGAGAGTTGTAGAATCACGTGAATATTGATTGCATAAGCCCCAGAGACGAAAGACTCGGTGTCGATCATATACAAACGCTTGGGGGAAGTGGAAGTGCCTTGAGCAGCTGGCAATCCTTCATCATTTAACAGCAATTATATCCCAATCATTCTGTAGCATTCTGCTCAAATATTCATATGTTTGTTTGTGCATCAACTTGATATCAAGTGCCAAAGTCACCAAATCAAATCCATTAGCATATTTATATGTATTTTCTTTGGTACCGCGTACTCTCAGCGACACTTAGGGGTAGTATGAACCAACGACTTAAAGAGGGCTAAAGGGATATACAGTCTTGGGAGTCATTCGAATGGTATCAGGAGAGTCTAAAAACTAACAAACTCATCAATTGGCGAGACCTTTTTGATTATAAACAAGGTTTCCCAAAAAACCAATTCAATAAAAAAGTATTTATAATTACTTTTAATAAGTTGTTTGAAGGTATATTCCATAACTGTCTTTACGTCTTATACATTA